GCTTAGGGCTGTTAGAACAACGTCAGCGGTCAGGGGGTGTTAGGCTTAGGGCTGTTAGGATGACGTCAGTGCTCGGGGGGTGTTAGGCTTAGGACTGTTAGGATGACGTCAGCGCTCGGGGGTTGTTAGACCAAGTGGCGTTAGGCTTAGAGCTGTTAGGGCAACGTCAGCGCCTGGGGGGTGTTAGGGTGACGTCAGTGCTCGGGGTGTACCTTTCCAAGAGCTTATGACCTAGTCTCTTGAGCTTTCCAAGTGGATTTAACACAACATAGACAAGTATGTAAGGAATGAACAGTTTGAATGAAAAATTTAAACGTGATAAATTGTTGTTTCAGTCAAGAGACCATTCAGTGTAATGAGCTTCAGTCAGATTCAATGTTTTGTCAATTGAATTGGAAAATTGCTTTTGTCTTACATCATTGAGATTAGTGCACGACAGTCATTCCAGCCAGCGTTTCATGCATACAATTTTACATGGATAACACTTCTCTGGAAAAAGCTACGACCACCGTCTTGCCCGAGAACCGGAAATCCGGACCTCTCATCTTGCTGTCAGCAGATGGGAGGTTCCGGTTAAGTTCTTATGGACAGGGAACGACAAGGCAGCAAGGCACTGTTACATTGTGATCACTTCAACGCATGCATTCTTTTCATATTTCATTTATTATTTCATTATGCAGTACAGCCGAAAGTACATAGCATGTAAAACTAAACCATTAATGACCCGCACGTCTGTTAAAACACTCTTATGTGAAGCTTAAAAAGTTAACTTATGCTAATGTCCACTTGAACTACTTTTTAATTAAAACTTGTAAAAAAACCATGAAAAAAATCCCACTTATCCTAAAAGCCAGCATAAAATCGATTATTCATCCGTCCATCCACACCATTAATCTTCAATATACCTTACAGCATCGGTAATTGTAACGGACGTTTGACGAACCGCTACTTCCAGCCCTTACGAGACGAAATCTGGACAAGAAATAAGGTTTGGGGCACCAAACATAATGCCTGTCCAAGTTCATTATCTTTGCATCGGAGCGGCCGTTCCAACCCGAGTTATCGTCATAACAATATACACCACTGTCATGGCGTTTGCTCCGGACATTGGGTGACAAGGCGCTGCTTTTGTCCTGTTTCAGCAAAAAAGTAACGATTCTGTTCAGGTTATCTCTTAATCACGTACCAAATACAGTAGTATCATTTATTTTGTTATGCATCATTCCAGTTAAACTATACGTGGATACATCCAGGTTTACAAATTAGGCTGATTATCGAGGATTAGTTGAATTCTTACTACTCTGCCACATGATTAGCTGCTGAGCTGATGCACACTATCCTTTGAAAGCTCTCCAGTCGGTAACATACACGTGCAAAAAACTGATAACAAATATATTATAAAAATGAATAGAAAAAGTGCAAAGTGAATATCAAATGTATAATTTCATGGATTATAATACATTATTATAATCCATGAAATATTTTCTCTCGCGCGCGATTGGTCTAAACATGTCACGTGACCGAATATTCCCCAGCTGAAACTAGGGAATATCCGAGAATATTCCCCAATTTTCAAAACTGCGCGGGTTGCAAAAAAGATTTGAAGAATAGCAAACACAATAGCCTCCATTTGGGGCGAAAATATGCTCGGATATTTGTCCTTGGATATTACCTGTTTCTTGAAGCTCACAGTTTTCCTCGAGTTACGCTTTCGGTAAACTGTTCGCTTCTTGGAACAGATAATCTTTGCGGACAAATATCTTAGCATATTTTCGCGCCAAATGGAGGCTATTGTTTATATATACATATATTTAGTATAATTTCAGAGCTGAGCAAAGAGTTTCCAGCAATCTGATTGGTTGAGCCCGTAATAACTGAAAGACATGATAATACAGTTTATGATACCATAAGTTGGGTATGGATAAATGAAAAAGAATAATACAATTGTTTCAATGTATGGAGATCTACAGAATAATTACCTTAATTTATTAGTAATTGATATATTTTTGGCTAGTTTATTATTGTCATCATATGAACCCCTAAATGCTAAATTGTACTAAATATTAAATACTAAGTTTCACTTTTATATGCAATGCTAGTATATGTACATATGCAT